GGAAATTATGTTTCGAGTATCCCAGAAAAATTCACAATATTTAAATCCATGATCCAACGGATTAGCTAAATCAATGGACTTCATTTGCTGCATATTGAGTTAACACAAAAATACTCGTACATACTTGTGGATATTACTTGAGATGTAATTGTACAACAAATTTCTCGAGTTTTAGTTCCATTGTTACCTCTTTGAACACATATAGCTTTATAAGACTGATACACATAGTCAAATAGTCTAAAATTGAAAATATGGGGTGGGGGAATCGATCATAGGATTTCAAGGCAATCAAACAACCACCTGCACTCACTTCAGGCTTTCCATGTAGTTTCATCATTATAGGAATTGATGGTCCATATACATCCGCATCCAGCAGCCCAAATTTAAGCTGACACTTCTTGGCGAGTGAAACCGTCAAATTCACTACATATTAACACATTTTAGCAATCCAATTGTAGTGTTATTAAATGTCAGACTAACATATATGCCACAAACTCAACTTCTAATACAAACTAAAACCCAACAAGAATCACTTCTTATCCTCATTTAACCTATATAAATTAATCATCCAAAGCACCCCCAAAATAAATAAATAAATAATAAATAAAAATACAAGTCCCTCTTATATATCGTGAAATAAAATGTAACAAGCAAAGAATCAATTGTTACAAAATACCAGCGGTAGTGGATTTTCCAACGCCACCCTTGCCAGAAGCAACTGCTATGATATCGTTAACCCCTTTGATTTTCAGGCTTTGCACATGGGGTTCCTTTCCACTCTACGCAGCAAAACCCCTGGTGGCTCCAGGCTCAAATTGACACAAGACTCAATTTTTTATTTGTCATAGAGAATTTAGATATGGAAATTTGGTGAAACTCGTAAATGAAAAATGACAGAAAATTAGAGAAGAGTTGAGAGATAAGATGAATTGAAGAATCAACCTACTAAATTACCGTAAGAATAACTTTGACAGATTAATCACCGATACCCTACTCCTTCACACATGGCTGCCTATATATACAAACCCTTGAATATTCTTGAGATGATTTGAAGATTTCCATGTTTTGATTTGGGGATGAATTTCTTGGTTTTGATTTTTCCAATGATTTCTTGCGTTTTTTTTTATTTTTTAACGAGTTGTCCCATCTTGCGCCAGACTATATCCTCGTCCCTGAACCTCCGGCCCCTCAGCTGCTCAGGGAGGTAAATCACAAGATGTGCCCTTGTTAGTTCTCAGGTTCCCACATAACTTTTACTCCTTCCTCAAAGGGAGTCTCCTCCATGGTTATTACATCACCAAGATGCTCCAACTCTTCCTCTTGTTATTACATCACTTGGCTTGGTCAAACAATCAATTTTTCAGTTTGATCATTTTTTGTTTTTTTGTATTCACCACATTGGCCTCTTGTTAATAAAAAGACAATTGTGCCCTTATTTATGTTACACAATTACAAAAGTATATTAATTTTTTGAAAGACAATAATACCCTTAATAGTTTAAATAAATTCAGTTACTTCCATACGTAAATTTCAAAATCAATTTTGCTTATCAGTTTCTCCAATACAGTAAAAAAGAATTTTTTTCCTTTCATCTGCTAAAATATTGAAATCTCCCAAAATTATCAAAGATTCAACAAAAAAACAATACTCACAGTCGGCACTGGAAATTGGTAAGTGTAAATACGTATTTTTAATTTTGTTTTAGTTAAATTTACTGTTTGAATCTTTAAGTCATTTTTTTGACAAAGGCAAATGAATTTTACAGTATTTAAACACAGATGTATAATTTTTTTATAGCAAAAACAACAAAAAAATTCATCTCTGTATGCATATATTTTATAGGAAAAATTTATAGGTGTCTGTAAAATAAATATTTAAACATTATTTCTTTGAAAAAGGGAAAAAATAAAAAATTCGAGCGTAAATTCCAAATAAAACGGATGAAAAAAGTTGGCCAAATGTTTCCAGCTGGCCTAGTTATCCGGGCCGGCTGGAAACATCCGGCCCAGCCGGCCTATTTTATTTATTTATTATTTTTTTCTCTTCCCCTCTCCCCCCTTTCAGATTTTAGAATTTATTTGTTCATTAATATATGTTTATTGAAAAAAATATTAATGAATATTTAATACTAATTGAAATAAATATTTTTGAAACAATTAAAATAATCAATGAATTATTTAAAGTATTAAATTAAATTAAATATGAAATGAACAATTTAAAACATTATATATTAATTCCTTATTTTTAATTTGTGACAGATATGGCATCAGTATGTGTCCCAATTTGTTATTTTAGTGAATTTCAAATGAATGAAAATGCTCAGTGGGAATGGAAATGGACAAGTGAAGGAGATGGGGTTAAAGCAATTTTTATAATAAGGAATACATCGTTTGCAGAAATGTACAGTGATTTACAAAACATACTTAATGTCGATCCCTCTCAGTACGATATGGAATTGGGATTTTTGTTTCATAAGCATTCAACCATTTCAATTCCACCT